TGTACTTTAAGCTGTCGCGATGCATAAGCTATCACTCTCCCATTTTGCATCAACACACAATGTAACACCCCCTTAAAACCAAGCTATTTAAAGCCTTAAAACATGCAGATTAACTTAAACCAAACACCAAACACTGCGGAAGACTGAAAGATAAGATATATATATAACGAGGAAACGGGGTGCTATGCCACGCTCACCCAAGGGTGAATGCACAAGCTAAATCTGCATTGTTTAAATCTACAACCATCCAACAGAGTACTACGTCTATATTGGCTCACAGGCCACAAAACACAAAGGGGAAACTATGCTAGATGGCACTAGACCACGCACTCGTCTAAGCATCACCTAAAAGAAGCATGTAAAACATGGGACGACGCCCGGTCAGCGAATAATGCTGGTAACCCACCAATACATGTGAAATATCATACATAGGTAAGATATAAGTTTGTAAAACCATTTTCGAAACGGAATATATATATATATAAGTCAAAAACCAAGAGTAATAGTCAACACAAAATTCAAACACTCTCAACAAGAACATGGGAACACATCCCAAGACTACAAAGGACAACAACGACTCACAAGAAGTCTCAAGGTATGGTCTATCATCACACAATAGACCAACACCCGACATGCATAACTCAAAGGAATAAAGACACAACACACGGCAACACATGCCTTTGTGACTACACACGTCACAAGAAGAGAACTCAAAGCCACAGCTACACAAGCCCTCGTGACATCACCCATCACGAGTTGATATGCCTTCCTTATGCCCGGTTCCAACCTTATGGCTACCCCCAACCTTATATCTAGTTCCAACCTTTACCTCCAGGACCCCTGTACCCCAAGTCCAACCTTATTCCTTCGAGAACCGTCGTTCCACCTCCAACAGTCCCTCTAACAGAACCACCGATTTCATAGTACACGAGGGTACCGATCACACATGGCAACACATGCCCTGGATAACACATGTTATCCCAGAAATAAACACGTGAACCTTACACAAAGGCCACAGCTCCATAATCACGTTATGGCCACCACGAGGACCACTGCAATACCTTGGTGACTAGTGTCCCATACCACTAATCGTGCAATCCAGGTAAAGCCACACACACATCACATCACAACAGGAATCAATCAACGGATCACAACGAAGATATGAAACCATACTCAATCAAGGAATGGATCACAGCCCAACAACAACAACGATGAATAACACAAGTTATCATCACCCATTAGGAAGGTACAAACAACACACACGCTAGCATTTAAACACCGAACTAGCATGCTTATCAAACGGGTAAACCAAACGTAGTTCCGAAGAACACACAGACCCATCACGGTTCAACGAAACACAATGTTGAACACGAAGCATGATTCACGACACCAAAACCTATATGGAATCCTGCCATATAGTTCTAGACATGCGAAACATCAAGACGACGCTCAAATAGTTCCACAAAGAACATCGGGAAGTCAAAAGACGAAATTCCGAGTCAAAAGAATCACGGGGAACAAATCCCCCAACATCCATACAGCGTTCCCCGCGGGTGGACCCACGGGTAGGCTCCTACCCGCAGTTCCGCCCGTGGGTACATAACCCACAAGGCCCTTGTACCCCGCGGGTAGGCGGCGGGTAGACCCCCTGCCCGCCGTTCCGCCCGCGGGTACACCCTGTACCAAGATAAATCCCTTCGGGGATTTTCATCTCCAAACTCAAATTCAAGTCCAAAATATGCCAAAACTCACCAAATACAAAAAAGTGACTTGAATCAAAGGAATAGCCAAGCAATGGCATACAAGAACCCTAAACACAAGCTCTAGATATGCATTTTCACAAGACAATGCATAAACACTCACATTTCATAGCAAAACACATGTAGAATCCAAGAAATATTCACATAGGTAAGCAAAATAGATTTTGTAGAGCATGGGTTACCTCTTGTAGCCCGAAAACCTTCACTTAACACCACACCAATCTCCTATCAAGGCTCACCTTCCAAACCCACTTCAAGAACATACCAAAAGATCATAAAGATCATATCTTTAAGAAAAGACACCTAAGAAAACACTAAAAACACAAGATGAACATGGATCTTACCCTCCTAGATACCCAAATGTATGAAAGGTAAAATCTTGGAGACAACTCTTGAAGTCTTGACAAAGCTTCAACTTGGCTTGGAAGAAAAGCTATCCACCTTTTTAGAGAGAAGATGGAGCTAGGATTTTGGAAAGTGTAAGGATAGAAATGAGGTGTTCTTACTAGGTTAGGTTACAATACTAACACAAGGTGAAATGTCAAGAATACCCTTACTAACATGGAAAGGTGTAAGGAACAAGGGAACTCCTTACAAAGCTCAAGGTACAACTTTGACTATGGGGTTGACTAGTCAATTACTAGTCCCCGACTATTAAATTTCAGGAATTTAAGGAATTAAATTACAAATTGAAATAGGATGATGCGGCCCAACATAATGAAGATCCATCAAGAGTACCAGTTGGGCCAATCACAAGGCCCAAGTCCAAACGATTAAGACAACTCTTCATTGGTGATATTCAAAGATGGTGGAAATCCAAGTCAAGCCCATTTGCAAAAGATGAAGAAGAATTCAAGGCTTTTTATAATTGTTTAAGTGCTGATTTTGGTGATTAAATTAGGCCCAAATCAGCCCTATTATTTTTGGTCATCATTAATTTAAATTGTTTGGCATAAAAGAGAAAACACTAGTTGTATTTAGAAAGGATTCCTTAAATCCTTTTCTAAATAAAACTCTATTTACTTGTTTTCTAGATTAGGTTTAAGACTCTTTTTTTCCATTGTATTTAGAATTATAATGCTGCCCCTATACCTATAAATAGGGCACATCCATATCAGTTTCAGGGAGGCTTTAATTCAATAAAATTCTTAAGTTTTTCTTGACACTTGTGTAAGAAACCTTATGGCTAATTGTGGACTCAATTAGTGGCTAGTCGTGGACTCGACTAGCAAATTGATTCGTGGACTCGAATCAATCTTACTTTCTTCAACCTTAGATTTAGGTTCGTGGACTCGTTCTTGAATCGAAGGAAACTAGATCCGACTCTAGTTGATTGAAGATTGCAACATCGAGGTACTTGAAGCTACATGGGATTCTTCCAAGTCTTTGAGGATTCGAGACAAAGGGTTTCTCGCGAGGTTTAAGGTATTTTGATCCATCTCTATCTTTGCATTGAGAGCATTCTTGGGACAATACTCCATCTTTAGTTGAACCTTGGACTAGGTTCATATCAATTTGGTATCAGAGCTTAGGTTTATCTCATTATCGTTAGAACTTTGGTATCAGAGCCTAGGTTTATCTCATTCTTATCTTACATACTACTTTTTTTCGTCTCTTATTCATTAAAAAACCCTAAAAAAAATTTCCTTTGCATTCTTGATTGTGTTCTTGAATCTTGATACATGTTCTCCAGTTTCTTGAAAAACAACCACGAAAGCGTTTTCCCTTTTTCCCGTTCAATATCAACGAGACCTCACACCTCCTAAGAACCATATTACCAAAAATTCTGTCAAGAAAACAACCTCATCTCACCCTTACCTATATTCAAAGAGAATTTACGCGCAATCATGTCTCAATCATACCCTGTCTAGATTTCCGCGTTCTATGACCAGTTTCAAAGAATGACCTATATCTCGAGATGCACTGGTTATTTTTATCTGAAATTTTGATATGTTGTATATCTCTTCTGGGGCCGTCTATTGATATATTATACACTTGCTAATTCCTTATGTTCATTGAGATATTGATCTTCGAAGTAAGGACAGCGTTTCTGTTTTTCTGAGTGATTCTTGAAATTCTTGATTCTGTTTTGAAGGGGTTGTGTGGATCCTCTTGGTCCGAAATTTTTGTTGATATTTACAGTACATATTTTGAGGTTACAAATAAAAAAAATCAAGAATGTTGAAAGAAAAACAAAAAAGAGAAAGCAATAAAGAAGAAGAATAAGGTTGGGGAAAGAATCTTGTTGGTAGGAGAATTTTGGTGGGATTAGGAAGGGTAAAAGTATAAGGTTGGAAGGAGTTCATGATATATTCCTATTTGGTTGTGGTACACTTGATCTCCTTTTACATTCTATTTGTGTCTATATTCTGATATTGGTGTTGCATAAAGAATCTGGTTGCCACCTTGAGCGATACACGAGTGAAGTGTGTGTTTGTAAGAGTGTGTAGTGCACCCCCAGAACCATATAATCCACCTCTTACCTGTGAGCTGAGAATAGAGAGGGAGCGAGCCAACTTTTTGGTTTCACTAACATGAATACTCACTTATCTTCTTTTTTTAGATTTTGTTTCCCATCTACAGATGGCTGAAGAGGTTCCAAACACACGTAAGAGATTAGAGCAGAAAATAGATGCTCTAGCCGTTTCCATGGAAGGTTTAAGCACTCGAGTGACTAATCTAGAGCAACACGCTAAGCGAGTGCAACTGCCACTCTATACTAGGGGAAACATTCATGGAAGGGGATGCATTATTGTTATCAATTCGGATCGTTGTATGAATTTAGCTAGTGCAGCCATGGTGGACTACCTTAAGTTACCTCTTATCAATCACCCCCAACCATACAATCTTAGTGATTCAGGGGAAGTGAGAGTGACTAAACAAGTTTTTATTCCTTTTTGTATTGGCAAGTATTATGATGAGGTTCTATGTGATATTGTGCCAATGCGTACTGCACATGTTTCACTTGGAAGGTCATGGCAACATGATAGACATTTTTATTATAATGCACTCAACAACACATGCAATGTCACCTATAATAGATTTATACATGTGCTTAAGCCCCTCCACCGACCCCTCCGTCTCAGCCTGGGACCGTCCCATCACAAAAACCCTACTGGAAGGTCTAGCTCCAGCTGCTCCTCGACTCGAGCTCCCTCCCGATGCTCCACCGGGTCCCGAACTAGGTGGCAACGCCCTTTGGTTAGCTTGCTGAGGGCATACGGCAGCCTTATGTCCTCTCTATCCACATCTGTAGCATCGAAGGGCTTGTCCTTGGCAATCCTTTCCTACATGCTCCTTCCCACACAATTTGCACGTAAACCTCTTAGCTTGATCACCCGGTCCTACTCGGGTTGGTCCTTGAGGTGGGGAAGATGCGGTCTTGGCTCGGAAATCCTGCCTTGGCTTCTTGAAGTTGGAAGATCCACCACTCTCGTTCCTCTTCCTAACAAGCTCAAGGGATCCCCGTTGCAACTGTTGCACCCGATATAAGTCCGCAGCACTCAGGTAAGCCTCCTTCAAGGTCCTCGGCTTGCTCACGGTCAATGCCTTGCGAGCCTCGTGTTTGAGTCCGGCTACGAACTTCTCAACTTTCGCGAGCTCGGTGGGGACAAGCATTCTAGCGAAGCGAGTGAGCTCCAGAAACCTCTTGTGGTACTCAACCACCGTCGATGAACCCTGCTGGAGGTGTAGAAACTCCTCATACATAGCAGCTCGAACATGTGCCGGATAGAACCGCTCTCGCATCCGGTCCTTCAAAGTCGTCCAGTCGAAGTCTGGCTCCTCAAGGCATGCGGGTCCCTCGTGCACCCACCACAAGTCAGCTTCATGACTGAAGTAGAACGATGCTAACTCCACATGGCGTTCCTCGGGGCACCCAACGATGGAGAAGATCTTGTCAAAGGTTCGCACCCAGTCCTCGAGCTCGACGGGGTCTTCCTCACCGCCAAACATCGGTGGTCTATGGCCCGACACAAGGCGTCCAACATCTCTATGCCCGGCCGGCTGTGGTAGCGGAGCGAGATGATTGTTGTGCAAGAGAGCTTCACTTAGAGTTTGCATGGTCTGCGTGAGCTGTTGCAGATTCTGGGCTAGCTGTTCGTTTGTTTGGGTCTCCGACGTGCGTGCACGTTGACGAGGTTGTGCCATGGCAAAGCTTCTACAACAACAACACTGTTACGATAGGCACAAACGACATCGCACCCTTACCCGGCGCTAACTAAAAGAACGCCAAAACTTAAACAGGAATAACAAGCAAGCAGAACAAACTATAAGCAACACACAGCTCACCACGCGTCCTAAAAGTCCTAAGTGCTAAAAACTTAGATACTTAAGGTCGCCATAGGGTCTCAAACCACCCTTAACTTCTTAAAAGTCTAGACTCTAACATCCTAGGCTCAAACCTAGGCTCTAATACCAACAGTAACACCCCCGATTTTCATGCCATTTTAAAACTTAAATACGCAACGTAAACTAACCAACATATACTATAAAACGTAAGCACAGCGGAAGTCTAATATAAAAACTGGGAAAACCAAGGAGTGTTATGCCACATTCACCTCAACGTGAATGCACAGGTAACACTAAAACCATTAGTCTAATTGTTCAACAATTGTGGCACACAGGCCAAAACGCTAAGTACAAAGTCAAGGGATCTAGACTATCAATGGCTAACGCTCTCGCCATGTCTACTCAGGACCTGTAAAGCACATAAAGAAAGGGGATGACTCGGTCAGCGAATATTGCTGGTAACCCATCAATATGCGTTCAATAGCATATAAAGATAGTTTAATACAAAATCATTTTCGAAACGGAATACAATATATATCAATTTAAAACCATAAATAGAAAAGTCAACTGCAAAGACCCTATTTCACTCTCAAAAGAAAGAGGGAATCACATCCCAAGACAACATCAAGACAAGAACAACAACAGAACAACTCAACACCGCTCAAGATGTAATCTACAGATCACAAAGCAGAAAACATCAAGGCAAAGACAACAACAACAACAACAAGTACAACTCGAGGTGTATTCTACTGATCACAAAGTAGAATACCACTCGACATGCTCAACAGAAAAGGATAGACATTCACACATTGGCACTACATGCCACAATGACACTTCATGTCACAAGTTCCAACCTTATGCCTACCCCCCGCCTTATTACAGATCCAACCATTACCTCCGAGAACCCCTGTACTTCTGAGTCCAACCTTATCGTTCCCCACCTACAACCACCAAATCATCAACCACCAATTTCACAGTACACGAGGGTACCGATCATTTCAATCACAGAACCACCAATCACATGAGCCTGAAGCCCAGCTGAGCCTGAAACCCAGATCACATGAGCTTGAAGCCCAATTTACAACTCCATTATCATTTCATGGCCACCACGAGGACCACATCTGTACCTTGGTGATTAATGTCCCATACCATTAATCGTGCAATCCAGGTACAGCCAACACACACATCATCATAGGAATCAATCAATGGATCACAACAAAGATATGAAACCATACTCAATCAAGGAAGGATTACAATCCGACATGAATGATGATCAGCACAAGTTATCATCCAAAATAGGAAAGAACAAACAACACACGCTAGCATTTCAACATCAAACTAGCATGCTTATCAAACGGGTAAACCAAATATAGATCCGAAAAACGTACAAGACTCATCATGGTTCAACGAATCACAAGGTTGAACACTTAGCACGATTCAAGACACCAAATCCTACATGGATTCCTATCATACCGTTCTAGACATACGAAACATCAAGAAGACACTCAAATAGCCCAATAAAACAACATCGGGAAGTCAAAACATCAATTAACGAGTCAAAATCCCCGATGTGACACCCGTAAATCCAAATTCTATTTAAGGATTAATTAGATAATTAATCCTAGCCAAATTGATAACTTATTCCTAAAATCCTAAAAATTCAATAGTTGGAGGACTAGAAATTGACTACTCAATCCAAGTCAATGGGTTGTACTCTATGCTTTGTGAATTGTTCCCTTGTCTCCTTACACTTTTTCATTTTAGTAAGGGTAAAGAAGACTTTTCACCTTATGTTTGTTTTCCAAGCTAACCTAGAGTCATCTTTCATTTCTTTTCCCTAACACCCTAAAAAGAAAAGCTCCTCCTTCTCTCTAGAAAATAGCTAGCTTCTTCTTCAAGCCAAGTTTGGGCAATTCAAGATTCGTCAAGTTGGTCTCCAAGATTCAATCTTTCTTAACTGTGAGCATATAGGAGGGTAAGATCTTTTTTTCTTTAGTGTTTTTAGTACCTTTTTAGGTGTCTTTTCTAAAAGAAAGAATCTTTGTTGTCTTTTGGTGTGTTCTTAAAGTTGAAGTTGAAGGAGAGCTTTAGGAGAAGCTTTAAGGGTGTGAAAAGTGAAGGTTTAGGCTACAAGAAGTAACCCATGCTTTACAAAATCTATTTTCTTACCTATATGATGATTTCTTGACTTCTACTTGGGATTTTTGCTATGAAATGTGAGTTTTGATGCATTGTCTTGTGGGAATGCATATCTAGAGCTTGTTATTAGGTTTCTTGTGTGCCATTTCTTGGCTATTCCTTTGATTCAAGTCATATTTTTGTATTTTCTGAGATTTTGGGTGTTTTGGACTTGAATTTGGACTTGGTGTTGAAAATCCCCGAAGGGATTATTTTTGGTACAAGGTTGTACCATCGGGCGGAACGGCGGGTAGTGCACCACCCGCCGCCCCACCCGCGGGGTACACAGCTTGTGGAGTATGGTTCCCGTGGGCGGAACCACGGGTGGAGGTCCACCCGCGGCCCCACCCGCGGTGAACACCTTTTGGGATGTTTGGGGATTTGTTCTCTATGATTCTTTTGACTCGGTAATTGATGTTTTGACTTCCTGATGTTGTTTTGTTGGGCTATTTGAGTGTCTTCTTGATGTTTCACATGTCTGGAACGGTATGATAAGAATCCATATAGGATTTGGTTTCTTGAATCGTGCTAAGTGTTCAACCTTGTGATTCGTTGAACCATGATGAGTCTTGTACGTTCTTCGAAACTATGTTTGGTTTACCCGTTTGATAAGCATGCTAGTTTGATGTTGAAATGGTAGCGTGTGTGGTTTGTTCTTTCCTATTGTGGATGATATCTTGTGTTGATCATCGTTGATGTCGGATTGTAATCCTTCCTTGATTGAGTATGGTTTCATATCTTTGTTGTGATCCATTTATTGATTCCTATGATGATGTGTGTGTTGGCTGTACCTAGATTGCACGATTAATGGTATAGGACTTTAATCACCAAGGTACAGATGTGGTTCTCGTGGTGGCCATGAAATGATAATGGAGTTGTAAATATGGCTTCAGGCTCATGTGATCTGGGCTTCAGGCTCAGCTGGGATTCAGGCTCAGCTGGGCTACAGGCTCATGTGATTGGTGGTTGTGTGATTGAAATGATCGGTACCCTCGTGTACTGTGAAATCGGTGGTTGATGATTTGGTGGTTGTAGGTGGGGAACGACAGTTCCCGGAGGCATAAGGTTGGACTCAGAAGTACAAAGGTTCTCGGAGGTAATGGGTGGAACTGTAATAAGGCCGGGGGTAGGCATAAGGTTGAAACAGAGCATAAGGTTGGAACTTGTGACATGAAGTGTCATTGTGGCATGTAGTGCCAATGTGTGAATGTCTATCCTTTTCTGTTGAGCATGTCGAGTGGTATTCTACTTTGTGATCAGTAGAGTACACCTCGAGTTGTACTTGTTGTTGTTGTTGTCTTTGCCTTGATGTTTTCTGCTTTGCGATCAGTAGATTACATCTTGAGCGGTGTTGAGTTTTTCTGTTGTTGTTCTTGTCTTGATGTTGTCTTGGGATGTGATTCCCTTGTTCTTTTGAGAGTGAAATAGAGTCTTTGCAGTTGACTTCTCTCTTTACGGTTTTAAACTGATATATACTGTATTCTCTTTCGAAAATGATTTTGTATTAAACTATCTATATATGCTATTGAACGCGTATTGATGGGTTACCATCAATATTCGCTGACCGAGCATCATCCCCTTTCTTTATGTGCTTTACAGGTCCTGAGTAGACATGGCGAGAGCGTTAGCCGTTGATAGTCTAGATCCCTTGACTTTGTACTTAATGTTTTGGCCTATGTGCCACAGTTGTTGAACAACTAGATTGATGGTTTTAGTGTTGCATGTGCATTCACGTTGAGGTCATTGTGGCATAACACTCCTTGGTTTTCCTGGTTTTTATATTAGACTTCCGATGTGCTTACATTTTAAGTTATATGTTGGTTAGTTTACCTTGCGTATTTAAGTTTTAAAATGGCATGATAACCGGGGGTGTTACACTCCTGAATCGTTATATGATTTATGTTGAGTATTGGCATGTTTAGGAACCGTGTTAGAACGTATTTGTATGATTCTTGGTTTGATTCCGTTAATTGAATGTGTGGTGTTGTCGTTATATGTTTGAACGTGTCTGGACATGATTTCAAATTCCACGAGAGATCACCGAGACCAAAAAGTTACCTGTGTATCAGTGGGGGGTAGGTGAGTGCATGGGTACCCGCCACCTACCCGCTGCCCGTTGCCCACTTTCCAGCGAGCAGGCGACTGCCCGCCGGGTACCCGCTGGAATGGAGAGCCACCGCCGGCGGGTGGCCCTCCACCAGCTGGAAATTGGCGGTGCGTCGTGGTGTTTTTCCCCGTTTGATGTTTTCCCGTGTCCCGTTGTACCCCGTTTGTTGTGTATGAGTCTAGTTTGATGTTTTGAATACCGTTCTAGGAATTTGTGTGTAGTACATGTCATTGATGTTGTGTCTTTATTGTTATTTGATTATGTGTTGATTGATTGAATGGTGGTGAGTATCGTGGTCATTGCGCAATGGCCGGTGTGAATGATGATGATGATGATGATGATGAGATTGTGATTGGTGGAAATGAATTGTTGGCGGTTGGCACCACTTCTGCCCGGTCATTGTACTAAAGGTACAGGCCATAACGGTTACTGTACTAAAGGCACAAACCCACCTTCGACTAGCTTGCCGTTGAGCATGTGTCAGGTTATGAGTGTTGCAGTGTCATGTTAGGAGCTATATGCGCTAACCCCTTGATATTGGCACTAGAGGTGCGGATCATTTGAATGGCACTGC